AGGCGGAAAGCAAGCAGGGTTGAGATATTTGTCAAATGAATGGTTGAGTGAGCAGTGTACTCTCTGGCAATTTCTATAGAGTCTTCGGGTCAGATTTTTCATCTCTGGTACGAAAGAACTGGACTAGAAATCCCTCGGGCCCATTCCCAGGCCTGCAATTTGATTTTCCCCTCTCCTTCTCCTGTACTGTGACTCCCCAGCCAGTACCCACATTGATCCACAACCCGCTCCCCTCCCTAGCGCTCCCACAAAGCAGGTGCTAGGGGTATCCTTGACATTGGTTTTTTTTTAATGTGTGTGTTTAACACCCTCTGGTTCTTGAAGAAGGCATATAAATGAACACGCCATCAACGAAACGCGCAAAAGCAGTGAGTGAAGCTTAGAAAGGAAAACCACATTTATACCGGGACACAGAAGTATTCCCTTTAATAGAATTGTATGTCTAACAGCGCCATGGCATGCGGTTATCCACTGAGATTTGATTCCTGAAGCTCACGTTACATGGGGCTTTTATCTTCTGACATTCAGTCCTTCGCCACACATTTTCATCCGTCCAGTGTCTTTTTCACATGAACCTACAGCGACCTAATAGCCCAGTCATTTGAAAAAGAGCCGTGATCGGTGCACAGGGCAGTAGGGCTGCTAATCTGTGTGCCAGGAAGTCTGAGGCCTCGGGACATGATTTGAGCTCTTCAGCCGCGGTGCCTCTACTAACTGCCTGAATGGAGATGGGCTCAATTCAATTTCTGGCAATTATTCTGAGAGAAGCAAATGCACCAGAGCCATGCGTTAAACCAGATCCTCAGAGAGGAATACTTAGTGCCCGTATTTTCTTATCCTGCAATTAAAGAAAAACAAAAATGATAAGAAAGGAAATAGTTCAGCTAGGGAGAAGAGGACAGGATGGACCGGCACAGCCAAGCAGTGGAAGTAGGAAGCACAGTAAGGAGGAAAGGTCTGTGAGGAGCAGAGGTTGTTACAGCAAAGAGTCTAGGGAAGCTGCCCCGTGCTGCTTTCCCACTCTCTTTGTCCTACAGGAAGTGCAGTCTCAAGATAGCCTCTGGGCCGAGACTGTCATGGAGACAGTGGGATACATTTTGTCTGGATGGCTCTTAGCCTTCCAGCCAAGGTGACAATGGAGTGCTGTGGAACTGTGTCATGGAGACAGGTCGTATGGCTTGGGCCTTTGAAAATGATCTTAAGATTCTGGTAGTATCCTACCCACTTTCCCATTATTTCGCAGAGCATGAAAAGGAATGTGCTTCGATACAGAGATAAAAAAGGACAAAATTTTCTCCCATTATTTTATTTTATTTTTTTAGCTCCACAGCCTTCACAATGATTGAATACTTTCATTACTTCTGAAAATCAAAGTCACCCGTACATTTTGTATGGAGCTGTAAGCCGTCGACTTCCCGAGTTGTGTTTGATTTCATTGCCATTTTCAAAAAAGATGCCCGCTAACTCGTATAACAGGATGTCTGTCACTTCCCGAAGCAAGTCTTCTGTTTTGCTGAACTTGATATCGTTTAAAATACGTTTCAAAGAAGATTTGCAGTATGGCAGTCATATCTAAAACTCGGTTGCTCTGAACTCACAACCCCTCTGCTTACTGGCTTTCTCTCAGGAAGCCCTGATAAGGTCTCCTTCTAGGGCTAGGGCTAAAATCATCACTCCCCGGTCCAGTGTGATTGCTCCTGGTGATAAAGAACATCTGCCAAGGGCTTTTCCAGATGGCCTGAAATTTTCCTGACATCCATTCATTTGACGATTAGTCATGATGCTGTGCATAATTACTGATAGGCTGCTATAAGCAGCGCTTGCTGCCAGGCTCTGTGAATGCTTCAAGTCCTGCGGAGGCTGCGTCCACACAGCACCCTCAGCTTCCTTTGCTTGGCCATTAATATCTCCACTTATTATCAGAGTCCTGTTATAAGCCCATATTTGTGATAAAGAGTTCCGTGCTATTGACCTTAATTAGTCTCAAGTGGTCTGGGCAGTCAGCTCAACTTATAAAACATTTATAATGAAATGTCTAAAGCCCAGAGACATAACCCCATGACAAGGATTAAAAATTGTCTAAAGACAAAAATTCCTTTTAGCAGAAGGATCCTCGATGAGAATCAGAGGAAGGGTTATAGAAGCCAAGATGAAGCGTGCGGGCTAAGGTTGAGACGAGGCAGAGGAGCCAGGAGAGCTTCGTGTCTTTGCTCAAGAGACGCTTGTGCTCCACATTAGAGAATGAATAGATCCTCCATCAAATGAGCTCTATGACATGAGTGTAGAGATCTACGATAATTCCTTTGCTATCTGTCGTCTCACGTGGATCAAATCAAGCTTCATCCTCTCTACATCCAGAAGGTGCCTGGCTCATGTTAGCCAGGCAACGTTGACTGTCGCCTCCCGCCCTCATGTTCTAATTCCCACTGTAGCCGTGTTTCTGTTTTTAAGAACAGTTCCCTACCTGCCTAATCCCATTATGCCTCATCCCCTCTCATCCCTCTTCCCTCCCTGTTTTGCATCTGGAAAACTTAGGTTCACTTTTCAGGCCTCATCTGAGAGCTATCTCTTCCCACAAGGTTCCTATCCTAGATTGCTTCCTTTCTCTGACCCTTCTAGCTAGTCCTCTAGCCTGCATCACAGCACTTGGTCAGACTGTTGAGGGTTCTGTTTACTATGTAAGAGAAGCCTCATCAGTGTCTCGTTCCCTGCCATGCCGGGATATTTATTGAGTGAGTGGATATATTGGCTGTAAGGCACCCTCTCTACTAGTTGGTGAATTATTATGTCATGCCTCCCTCCAAACAGCTCCTGAACATTCATACAAAGCATTTCTTCTGAAAGCCTGATACTATGTAGCTAGTCCATGAGCATTGCTAAAGCAAAATGTGTGGCTTAGAATACCCAGAAATATATTTCTTAAAATTCTGAGTCAGGGAAGTGCAAGTAGGTCAGGTCCTGGTGAGGGGCTGGTTTCCTTGAAGATGTTTGTTTGTGGCACAAGGGATAACATCTCCCCTGTAAGACCACTAAACTCGATTGTGAGGGCCCCATCCTCATGATCCACTCATCTACCCTAGACTCCACCCCCTAACAGCTGATTCCTCAGAAGGGGGCCAGAGGCAATAGAGTTTAACCTAAAAAGTTTAGAGCATACAAAGATTCTTTTCATCCCAGGCCCTTGCCCCCACATTACTGGCAAATAAAGTTCATAAGCCAATAAATGTTCATCTAGGCCGAAGCTGGAGATGTGAAGCAAAGCACAATAAGGAAATTCTAGCTGGCAGGGCACTGCTATTCCAAAGGTACTGAGACCAGCAAGGACCTCATATTTGACAGACAACTAGAAATAGCTGTGCATGGCTGTGCAAGCCAACCCTCTTAACTCTGCTGGAGTGCCACACGCGGTTGTGAGAAAGTCCTGGTCTGAGTGAACGGGTATGGGGGAAATCCAGAATTTTTGAAGGTAGTGAAGTAAATCATTTTATCATCTTGGGGGTAAGAGTGGAAGGTCGCAAAGAAAGGTAATTATCAGCTGTCACCTCCCATCTCCTTTCTGACGTAACTGTGGAAAACCTGAGGTTGCAGAGGGGAGACAGACCCCAGTCACCTTTGTGGTGGCTGGATCACAAAAATCTACATATCGCACAAAACGGAGAACGTGGCAAAATGGTGGTGAGAGGTCTCAGCCTTCGCTGTCACAGGAAACCCTTTTCTCTTCTTTCAGACTTAAAATTTAAACGTTCAGAATTTGTAGTCTAAGAAATTATTTTCCGGGCCTGTGAGGTGGCTCAGCAGATACAGGCTCTTGCCGCCGCCAAGCCTGAGTCCGTTCCCACAGGAGCATCATGGTACCGGCACCCACCCCACCCACGCCAACGCACCACATTAAAGACAGATGTGTGCTAGATAAATCATTTCAGTCGAAGCTTTTGTAAGTCGGCGTAACCACCTAGCTAAGGCATGAACTCCGAAAATATGTGTCGTGTTGTAAGGAAGTTCCTGTATGAATGGTTTTCAGTAACCAAATAATAAACACCCAGGATAAAAGCTAGGAGGAGCTGGAAAGTGGATATGACCAACACCCCTAATTAGGAAAAACAAAATAAGTTGTGTCTAAATGATAAAACGGTGGTTATTAGATTATTTTAACTTCATGCCGTTAAAAGATTATGAATTTGTGTTTCACTATTTTTATGAGTAGGTGGGAAATAAAATTGTTAAATTAAGTTCAACTAAAACTGAAATGTCTTTCTAAATTTTAGTAATGATATTTAAGGACTTTTATTATGTTCTTTTATTTTTTTTAACTAGTCTGTTCTGCATTTCCTCTTCTTCTGTCTCCCAATTTTGAAACATTTTGTAGGTTTTTAATTCAGTTATTAATATCCAGTTACTTAGAGAATGTATAGCTTCTTGCTGTGGCATTTAAAAAGAAGCAAAAACAAAGTGAAGTTACTTTCTGAAAAATAACTACCCAAGTTTCATAAATTTTACTTAAAAACTAATTTTAGTAAACAGAAATTTAACATGTTCACAAAGGTGGAAAATTGCAGTGGGGTTTATTTGATGATATTTAAGATTTGCTGTACTTTACAAGTGTGGTTATGTTATGATTTTAAAAGATTAAAATAAAATTTAAAATACTAAAATGGGAAAGAAAGTAAATAGACAAAGATAAAGATTATCCATTAATTAGCAGTTGGGGTACATATAGTATAAAATGTACATGTCTAAAATAATTCACAATTTAAAGTTAAAATGAGAAAATTGCCTCTTTTCTAGGAAGGTGGCTAGCTTAAGCCGCGAGAAATGGATGCTTTTCATTTTCTTAGCAAAGCCAAGAACGGCGGTTTATAGAATCTTTCCCCTGATTTTGGAAAAGGCTGTTGCAGTCGTTGGGGTTTATCTTCTCTGACGCTGATTTAATTAACTTCCTGTAATATCCGCTCAACCAAAACGTATGTGTCTGAGAAGCGTTCTGCGTTTGTGTCCTTCAGGATTGTGGAAAAGGGGTACTACAGCGAGCGAGATGCTGCGGATGCGGTGAAGCAGATCCTGGAGGCGGTTGCTGTAAGTAAGAAACAACGGGGGCGCGTGCGCTTAACCCAGGCCCCCTCCTTCTTCTATAGCACCACGCGCGCAGGGCAGGCGTGCGATGTAAGCAAAAGAGTATGGGGTGCTGCAAGAAAGCATGCTCAGTTAGTGCACTTACCACACCAGCTCCTCGAACCTGAATGCTGCGCCGTCCCTATAGGTTTGTGGGTATTTACATTCCACCGCGAGTTCTTATTAGGCGCCAGAGTTCCTTCTTGTTCTTCAACATTTCCTCCCCCATTTTCTCAGTGTACCTCTTTGTTGATTTTACCGTTTGACTCAGTTTCATTTGGAAATGTTTAGAAGGTTGAGTAAGATAAATACAGGCCCTAAAACATATACCAATTACTGCTTTTCCCTTTAAAATACACCAATGGACTTGAGGAAAAATAAATCTGACAGTTTCATTTTTTTTTTTGAGGAAAAATTTATAATGGGGTACAACTTTATAAATTAATTGCGGAAGCAAACACACACTTATGAATATGTACATTTTCGAATTTGGTTTGAACTTCAGGTAATTGTCTAAATGAAACAAGGTTTACCTCTGCTGGCTAAAATCTTCTAATATACTCACCGGTTTCTTTTTCCCCCCAATATTTACTTGTATATTTCTATATGTACATGTGTCTGTGTGTGTCATGAGGCCAGAAGAGGGTGTCAGAGTCCCTGGTAGTTATGAGCTGCCATACCTGAGTGCCAGCACCTGAACTCAGGTCCTCTAGAAGAGGAGCAAGCCCTCCTAACTCTGGAGGCATCTCTCCAGCTCTGGCGACTGGCTGGGGTGTCTTAGTGATTCTTTCCTGATTATAAAGCCACAATACATTATTCGCTGAGCCTACAAAACAGGTCCCAGGGGAGAATGTTCACCAGAACTAGTTTTAAAAACATAGCACACCTTGGATCCTAGCACTCAGGAGGAAGAGGTAGGTGGCTCTCTGATTTCGAGGCCAGCCTGGCCTACAGAGAGTGTTCCAGGACAGCCAGGACAGAGCATAGAGACAGCATAGAGAGAGCCTGTCTCAAAGAAACTTAAAAAAAAAAACACTATGCAATCTTTCCACAATTAAATATACTATCCTTTAGTTAGTTATCTTAAGAAATCACACAAAATAACATGTCCCACTACTGTCACTCGCAGGAAAAGCAAGTTTGAGTTGGGTCTGTGGATAAGTGTGTTTCCTATGCAAGCAAGAAGAACAGAGTTCAAACACCTAGTACGTATGTTAGAACCCAGACATTGCCTCTAGCCCCAAAACTGAGTGTAGAAACAAGTTGATCCTGGTAATTCATTGCCCAGCCACCCTAGAAAAAACAGTGATTTCCAGGTTCACCGAGAGACCCTGCCTCAAAAAATAAGATCAAAGATGGCAATCCTACTCAGTGGTTAAAGGACTTTGCTATGTATTCCCAAGACCTGAGTTGTGTTCCCAGAACCTATGTGGTAAAAGGAAAAAACCAACTCCTACAAGTTTTTCTCTATTCTCCACACATTCAAAATGGCACATGGACACACGCGCACACACACAAGAGAGACAGACAGACAGGCAGACAAAGAGAGAGACAGACAGACAGACAGAGAGCCCACACTAAATAAAGTAAACAAACAAATATTATTTTAAAAAGTAAGGATCTGAGCAATAGAAGATATTTGAATCTCCATCTCCCCACGTACAAATATGTGAATATGCATATTACAGAGAGAGAAATGGTGGTGGTGATGATGATGATGAAAGAAAAGAAAAACACTGGAAAGGATACTATAAAATTTTGCTCTACGTGTATGACATAGGTCCTTGTTTCAAGACTATTGAATATCAAATTCATATTCTCACTGTACACAAAAGCAACCATATTCTAGATTGTTTTATCACCCTAGTTTCTTAGGCTTGCAAATTTGGGAATGATTTTCAAAGGCTTCCAGTCTGTCTTCATGTCTGCCTTTCAGCTTCAGTTGGAGCTCTGTTCAGTTGTCCCTGGTCCCAGTGTCACTGTCTCTGAGCTGCTTTTCTGGCTTGTGTTTCTAAAACATGCTTCTATTTCCTCCAGTTCTTGCTCTTACGTGCATGCCTAGAATTTTCTCTCGTGCTTATTGGCTTTGTTTTGTGAGGTCAAAGTCCAATAAGGACTGTATAATATGTATGTTACAGGCTCATTTTTAATGTTTCAGACTTTCGCGACACACAGACACACATCACTCTGTCCAGATCAGGCAGGCAGCAGTTAAAGGCACTTTGGCAATCAGAACTGAGCTTGGCTTCTTTGTACAGAAGCTTGGGCAAATCTTTAATTCTCTCAAGCCTTCATTTCCTCTCCTGAGTAAGGTGTGACATTCAACCTAACGCGGTAGTGGGGAAGGTTGAGAAAATGTACAAACCAGAGCTGCAGTTCAAAGGAGCGCCAGACCGGAGCAACTGATTCTCTACTCGATGCTGTAAATCTGAAGTTACATCCAGCTTACGAAAATTCAGCACACTTTTGTATGCTTAACATATTATATCCACTAGAAGTTTAAAGTCAAGGTGTGCTGGTGCCTTCGACGGGCCTTGCCCGGCTTTGTGTGCCTTCGTGTTTTCACCTCTGTCTCTGCTGTTAGCACCACACAAGTGTCTTTCTTTCTGCCGCCATGACACATGTTTGGTACGACACGGGTCAGTGTAGGGTGTGAGCAGGAGTGATGCCTGTGTCCTTTGACCTAACCCTTTCCTCATGCTTTCCTATCGACAGGGCACTTGTGGTTTTGTTCTTGTTTTTCCCTTTTCAAAATAGCATATCGCCGTCAAAGGAATTGTTCTATGTGATTTTACTCTCCAATTTAGTGAAAGTGACAGAGTGTGCATGGCAAGGGGTGGGTTTTCTGGAAGGCAAGGGGCTGGCTTTTCTTGAAGTTTACAGAGGTGTGTGAAGAAATTCAGCCAACTAGCTCGAGCCACCAGGGCCCTCTGCACACTGAGCTTTCTTCCCAAGGATTCTATCTTTTACAACTTGATCCGTTTCTCGGGCTCAGAAAGTGCCATGAGGTCAACATGGCATCCCTGTAGTAACACGTCGCCATAAAAACTCGTTTGAGCCTTCCTCAAAGTAGATACAAATTCCTCCCTTTCTCTTCAGTCCTGACTTTAAGACGGAAGCTACGTACAGCTCTGCTTTAGTCAGACAACCTTTCTAGTCCAGTCAGCCGGGGGGGGGGGAGCTGTGTAGTGTGAATGTGGCCACAGGGTGAAGAGCGTTCTGAGGTGTGGGGGACTTGTTTCTGTGAGGGAGGCTGGCACACACTAAGAGCTATCTATGTCTCTGCTGCTGTCCGCTCAGCTGCTTTTTCTCGCTGCTGGTTCTGAGCACTTGCTGCTCTTGCAGAGAACCTGAGTTCAGTTCCTGGCATCTACAGGGTGCTTTACAACCGTCTGTGGCTCCAGTTCTCGGGGATCAGATGCCCTCGTCTGGCCTCCCTGGAACACTGTGAGCACATGGTGCACCTTCCTATGTGAAGACAAAACACTCATACAAACAAGAATAAATAATACAGACGTGTGCCAACATCCCATTTCACTTTAAGTGTGATCTTATTTTGAAGGGAGCCCTCCTTGTGGACGTTGCAAGAACTAACAACTCCTCATGACCAACTGCGGCCCTTTTCCCCAGGCACACATCTGTTGCCTTTGTGTTCAGGCTGTCTTGAGTAGACACGTGCAGACATTCCTCCTTCTCTAACACTAACCTAGAACTATGGCAGTGCCCATCAGGCTTGTGCTGTCATGGTGACACTGCCATTCCACTACTGTTTCCTAAAATCCTGTTCATCCTGGGTTCGTTACTGCCCGATCATCCCACCAAATCTTGCTAGTCTAACTCCAGGTGACACCACTAATTTGACCCTTTGTCTTCGTCATTACTAATCCTTGGTTCAAGTCACCATTTACCGCTCATACGCTGCTGAACCTAACTGGGTGACACACATCCATCACCTAACATGGTGTCTCCTCTCCTGGAGTTATGATGTCAGTAATAAACCAGCATTAATCATTTCTATGGTTAGGCCAACACTGGCACCTGAGAGCAGTCTGGATGTGGGGGAGGAACCTGCAGTCCTAGCACCCAGCAGGCAGAAGCCAGAGTAGTGTGAATTTGAGGTGAGTGTGTACTTTGCTACACAGTGAGTTCTAGGCCAGCCTGGGCTAACAGTGGCTGGGGGAGGGGGGGGGAGAAAGAAAAAGAAAATCAGACTCTCTTAGCATTTCCTAGAATACCTTCCTCACACAGGGCTCTCCCCACTTCAGCACACTTCCTTGCCGCTCCCCTTTTCTGTGTTTGCTCCTGTTAGCCCCTTTCCTGACCCCAGAAAGAACTGAACTAATTTACATCTCAAGGAGCCTGTTTTCTCTGTGTTTGGAAACCTCTTTAGTCACATTTGCCCAGGATTTACCTCCTGTGTCCAGGTTCCCACTGAAAGGTTCACTCTCTGGAGAGACCTTCCGTTATGCTAGAATTGTGCCTTCTGCATCCTCTCCAAGCCATGTGTTATTGTTGTCTTTCTAACCTACAAGTGCCAAAAATTATACAGTAATTTGTCTGTGCTTAATATTTATCACCTCATTCCACAAAAGTGGGAGTTTGGTTCCCATTGACCTTTTCTTGGTGTGTAATGAGATACGTGGTCTATTCATTTCGTGGGAAACAGAGCAGTATCCCCTTGTCTCCATGAATGAAATCATTCCCCTTCTCCCTCATTGTCACTCCATTCATTTTCTGTGATGTGAACCCCACCTGTTTGTTCTTTCAAGTCACTTCTACCCTTTTACATGACTGTTGTTCTTTGGGTTGATCATAGTAAGCGTGCTTCAATTTAGTTATGCCACAAGTAGAGGACACAAGAAACCCTGGCATCCTTCAATGAGTGAGAACGGGTGTTCTCAGCATCAGAATTTTCCACATTCTGGAGTTAGACCAATCAAGGAAGCAATGAGCTTCACTTAGAC